ATATCTCGATATATATTGATGGTGATTTAAAGTTAAAAATCTATTGGATATATACCGTTACTGATTTACATTAATACATATGGATAAATTTTATATCTCAAAAGGTTTAGTCAATGTTATATCGGGTATATTGTATATTCAATATGTTATACTTTATACCATGTCTTATAGAACTTTATATTGGCTTTCAGATAGGATTGTTTCCCCTGTAATGAGCCTTTACAATTTTACATGTTTTAAGTAGATATATATTAGTTGAATTACGTTAACATGGTCAAGTGCAAAGGGCTACCAAAACAGAAGGAAAGAAGAATAAGTTATAGGTTACTTAACCAATCTTCCAGTAAGTCGAAAAAAGACCCTTTATATGTTAATCTTAGCTCAGAGGGTAAGCAATCATTTCGTTATATTATTTTCAATATCTATATAGGTTTTAAAAACATTGTATGTTTTAAATTGGGTTGCTCTTAGGAGAGCGCTGAGGAAGACACAAAAAAAAAGGATGCTCAGTCATTAAAGCCTACCTTCTACAAAGATTTGTTCGGTAATATGCCTCGTTATAAAAAGTACTCGCCAATAATCATTTTACTAGAACAAGATGAAAAGGTGAAGACGAAAGTTACTATATGTGATCCTATGGTTGAGTATCCAAATGAAGATGAAGTTGTTAGAACTCAAATTGTTTCTTTCATGGTAATACATATAGATATTCTTTATATTTAGGACATTTAATAAAGATTATATAGAAATTAATATGTTAAATTAAGGTACGTGTCGATCAATCTCTTATTGAGGAAATAACAGAAGAAGTAATGGTGGATAATGTGGAGGATCAAAGGGGGAAAAGGAAAGAGATAGAGGAATATGAGGTATATATTCTTTATATTTAGCACAATTAATCGTCATTATATGCATATTTAATATGTTATCTTCAGGTGCCTACCAATCAACCTCATATTGAGGAAATAACAGAAGAAGAAGTAATACTCGATAGTGTGGATCGAAGAGGGAAAGGGAAAAAGAGAGAGGAATATGAGGTATTAAAACCTTATTATTAGTATAATTTCTTTAACTAGTAGTATAATTTGAATTTGGAATAATGCAGGATGATGATATCCCAATAATTGAAAGGTTGAAAAAATTAAAAAATGGCGTGCCAGGATTTAAGGGGAAGAATAAAGAAGATGTTATGACAACCAAAACAGTGATGATGGTAATTATTTTTTTTCTTTTGGTAGTACATTTTTAAGTGAAATTGAGTATCTTAATCTTTATTGAATTACAGAATGTTAAAAAACCAAGACGCAAAGATAGAAGGAGAAAAGGGAAATATGATAAAGGTAATTTTATTGGTCAGAACAGGGTAGATGTGTATGAGGTATGTATTATATATCCATGTACTGTATTGTTATTATTCAATATATCATGTGCATATAATACATTTAGACTTATATCATGTTCAGGAGGCTCCATTGTTACTTCTGAGGGATAAGTGTTAAATGAAACCAAGCTTCAAATATATTCAAAATTAGAAGTGCTTGAGAATATTAAGGACGTACTTAAAAAAAACATCTAACAAAATTTAGAAATACGTGTTTTGGAAGCTTCTTAGATGTAAAGATAAAAAAATATCCACTACAACTAGTTAGCCACATAATTAGGAGACAATGCAGCCCTTGCCCAGGAGATGAAATTAATTTCAACTTTGAGAGCAAAGTGGTTCATTTTGGATTACAAGAATTTGAGGCTATTACTGGACTTAAATGTGATGAACTACTTTCTGTGGACTTCAAAAAACTGAGTGAGAGATTCTTGACTAAATATTTCAACAATTCAAGAATTCGTGTGAAGAGGGCAACAATAAGTACCTTGTTTAATTCAATGGATGTAGTGAAGAAGAAGGACATGGTTAAGATGGCACAATTATTTTTGTTGTCAAATTCTTGTTGGGAAAACAACGAGCAGTCGGAACTGAGGTGGAATATATCAAGCTCTTGATGACACCGAACAATTTGAGAACTACCCATGGGGGCATGTTTGCTATAACTCAACAATCGGCTCTATAAAGAAAGAGATTAAAAACCCTGATGCATCAGTTGTGGGACTCTCTGAAATGCCGTTAAAATTGGATATTTGGGCATACGAATGCATACCATTGCTTTGTTCAGCAGAAACAAAATATGCAAAGTACATATCGATTGATATACCACTAATGGTAAACTGAGAGGCTACATCACAACCGGAATGGTGGGATATAGCGATTAGAGTTTTCGAGAATGAGGAGGTATTATTTATTTCTTTGTTTTTAATAGCGATTAGTTTTATTTTCAATGTGTATATATATATATATATATATATATATATATATATATATATATATATATTGAAAACTATATTACTGATATGTTAATTTTAATGCAGTTTGAGTTTGAAAATATGTTCGAAGAAGATGAGAATGCACCGATTATAGGTAAAAAAGAGTTTTGGAGGAAGGTGAACCATCGAATAGGAATGAAAGCTATATAACTCCACTTTTTGAAGAGTTTAAAGAAATGGTGTTAAGTAGCCTCGATAACATGAATTGCAAAATCAATACACTATTTTCTAAGATTGAGAGTGTTAAACGACTGGTGAATGATAGATTAAATGTTATCAGAAAGGAAGATGAGGATGGTGATGGGAGTGCGGGTGGGAGGGATGGTAACAACGGTGGTAATGAGGGCGATGATAAATATGGAGAAAATTCGGAAGAAAATCAACCAAAGGACGATGGATCAAGGGACAATATAGCTACAACTAAAAGTGATAATGATGTAGATCGTACTAACGTGAGTATCTAAAATTAATGCATCATATATGTGTAAATTATGCTTAGTTTTCATAATCTGTGAAGGACATGTGTAATGTTATTTACTATGTTTTACATTTTGGAAGGAACTTGGAGTTAAAGAAAATGAAAGAGATTTAATGCCAGATGAGTTCGTATGCACAACATTTTTAAATGAGGTTGATAGGATAGAAGAGACCTGAAAAAAAAAAAGGTTTGCTTGTACTGTTTTGATAGTACTAATCTTGATTGATGGCTCATTGAACGATACTCTATACTGCTTTGTTATAATTTGATTCATGCAGGACAAGGAGAACATCGACCAAAATGATAATAATTCGGAGGGAGACATGTACATTCATGCTGTAAGTATTGGATTTATTGTTTCAGGATAACTAATATAATGTTTTGTCTAGTATGATCACTATATATGGATATAGTTGTATATAATATATAACATATTGAGAATTATATGTTGGTATATCCCTTTATCATTTGTCTGTGACCGTTGGATTGTGACGTCATTTAACCCAGGCCATGTTAGTATACAAACTCTTTAACTTCTCGTGCTTGTGTTGTCATCTGATTCCGCTAATTTTGATAAACCTTATTGCTTGTGCTTTGTTTGTTCTATAGCGACATCTAGTATATAATTATTGAAGTCTAGGAATCAAACTGCTGATGAATTCTCAATAGTGTCAACTGTTTCTTTTGATACAAAAAACTGAAGTTTGATAAAGCTAAACTCTTAAGCAAGATTGATGCCGATGTCTGTGGGGAGTGAGAAACTGAAATAACGTGTAATCAACATATTAATATAGGAATCAAGATTGATGCCATGTAACATCTTAACACAGGTTTTACTGCTGCCACCCAAGGATATTTGGCGTATGTGAGACTATATTTTATATGTAACATAAAGTTATATTAATGTGTAGTTGAGAGGAACAGGTCCGTTAAAAAAGGGGGGAATGGAGATATGAAGACATTAAAGAAAGATCATGAAGTATAACCATTGAGACGGCAAAACGTAGAGTGGTGATGCCTTCTAAGGTGAATAGATCATCGTACACTACAAAGTTCGGTCCAGCAGAAGATAGTAAATATAAGCTACCAAGCATTGAAGATTTTGAGGCTCCAACTTTAAACTTGTTATCACAACTTTAAGTATCGACTTTATGTAATGGAATTCATTATTCAAATTTTTGTGATAGTTATTATGTACTTTTTGGTTAGATTTATTCAATATGACTAAGAGATTTGATATATTGAAGCTTCTTTTGTGGAGAATACTAAGTTAGTAATCATTTGATAAACTTTAGACACGCTTGAGTGATATATCAATATCTACAATGGTTGTACATGAATATTTCTTATAGTGTTCATACAGGGATATATCAACATGTAGTTGTCAACTTATGAAATTACTTGACTATCAATATCTCCAATGGTTATACAGGGATATATCTTATAGTGTTCATACAAGAATATATCAATATGTATTTGTCAACTTATGAAATTATGAAATTACTTTACTATCAATATCTCCAATGGTTGTACAAGGATATATCTTATAGTGTTCATACAGGAATATATCAATATGTATTTGTCAACTTATGAAATCAGGAAATTACTCGACTATCAATATCTCCAATGGTTGTACAGGGATATATCTTATAGTGTTCATACAGGAATATATCAACATGTATTTGTCAACTTATGAAATTACGAAATTACTTGACTATCAATATCTCCAATGGTTGTACAGGGATATATCTTATAGTGTTCATACAGGAATATATCAATATGTATTTGTTAACTTATGAAATTACTTGACTATCAATATCTCCAATGGTTATACAGGTATATATTTTATAGTGTTTATAAAGGGATATATCAACATGTATTTGTTAATTAATGAAATTATGAAATTACTTGACTATCAATATTTCCAGTGGTTGTCCAGAGATATATCTTATAGTGTTTATACAGGAATATATCAACATGTAGTTGTCAACTTAAATAATAGTATATTAAGATGTAATAATATATAAATTGTAGTTTGACATGGAATAGAAATAGAAGAAAACTGAATTTATAAAATAGTAATATGAAATTGTTTAAAGTGTAATAAATACAATAAGCAAGAAAAAACACATAAATCAATGTCTAACTATTGCGTAAGGGAAAATTTACACGACTTCCTGTTGTGACCATATCTTCCACAACGGCTGCATTTAACACGTTTTTTAAATTCCAATGCTGACGGAATCCTCAACTTCTTTGGTCTACCAGCAGGACGTTTCACATTGGGCAGCAACATCTTTATAATCTTTACATCTTCTGGGATATTCCAACTTGACTGATGACCTAATGGGTGTATACTTCCACTGTATGTGGAACTTAAATAGTTGTTCGAGTAGTAGGAGGAGACATAACCTTTTTTAGGTAAATGCTTCTGAGTCAGTACAGCGCATGCATGTGAACAAGGTATTAAACAATATCCCACTGACGACAAGAACAATTTTTTTTTTGAAGTATTACCTCAAATTATCTATGCTTATCAATTACCTGATAAATATCGTTATTGACAGCATAAACCTAAAAGAAATTTGAAAGATAACGAACATCAGTTATTTATTAGTTAAGAGTCCAAACATATACATCTACTAAATTAATTAAACAGAAAACATGTACTGATAAATCATGGGTATTAAAAATTTAATGTAATGATGCTTATGAAAACTTACTTTCATTGTACGACAAGCTGAAATTTGTTCACTTAACTTACTCTCAGCACTTTTCGTGAATTTAGTAATTTGAAAATCAACATCGTTCTGACGCTTATAGAACCACCTCTGCAACATCATCCGCACGACTTCTAACATGGAAGTAATTGGTAATTCCATTGCATCTTTCATGGCAGCATTTAGACTTTTTGAAATGTTGGTTGTCATAAAATTGTATCTTGACGAAGGAGAATAAGCATACGACCATTTAGAGAAACCTATGCCCGACAACTCCTCGCTATGCCTCGTACAGTAGAATCTAAAAGGTGCATGTTATGTTCAAAATCCTCAACATTATATGCTTTGGCACGTGGGAAGAATAATTTATCAGAAACTTTCTCCTTGTAATTCAACTTTAAATTCTTGAAGAGATGATACGCGCATATGCAGTGGCAAGCAGTAGTGAAAACCTTCTCAGCTGATTTTACTATACTCTTGTGCCGATCGAAGACAGTTACAAGGTCTTGACGAGGACCTATACATGGTTTTAGCTGTTCAAAAAACCAAACCCATGAAGCGTCATTCTCAGAATAGACAACACAAAATGCCAAAGGGAATATCTGATCATTTGCGTCTAAAATGCAAGCTGATAACAAAGTGCCACCGTACTTATTCTTCATTGAAGTTCCATCAACTTAAATAACAGGTCGACAATATTGGTAGCCATCGATCGAAGACGACAAAGCCATAAAAAGGTAATGAAATCTTCCATGATTGTCAACTTTAAAATCGCAAACTGAACCTACAACATTATGTATAGAGTAGATTATATAATATATTACTCTAACGGCGATATATATTGAAAATACGTGAATAGAATCATACCTGGATTTTTCACCTTAATCATGTGACAAAAAGAAGGAACTAATGCGTAAGACTCCTCAGGAGATCCCTTAATTTCTTTTATTGCAGATTTTCTTACACGCCATGCTTTTTGATAATTGATACTAATACCGAGTCCTCTACGCACATGGGATATAACATCTTTAACACTAAGCAAATCAGTGCCAAACATGTTAGTCCTATCCTTAATAAACTCCTTGATAACAGAAAAAGTTGCTTGCCTATGATCGTTAAGAACTATTTCAAGAGAACATGTATGTTCTTGTACAAATTTCTTTACTATCCAAATCTCACTTCCTTGGTCCCCAAACTTGGAAGCATGAAGATACCACTGGCAATTGTCCATAAAGAAACGGACAATGAGTACATCACGATTTGATTTGATAGTCCTAAATTGAAAGTTATCTCTTATAGCCACAGATCGCAAAGCATTCTGTAAATTTTTCTTTCCACAAAACTTGTCATTCACTTCAATGTGGAAATTCCTCAAAATATTGGTAACATCAATCGAGTAATGAAATTGACCAATTGATGGTATACCATTGTCTATCGAACTTGAAGTATTAATAGGCATGCGATCTAATACGTTAGAAAGACAATTTCTACAATCAACGACTAAACTACAACATTGAGCGACACCATTAAAAATGACATTGTATAACCAATGCACATCCTTGTCGTCTGATATTTTCATGTCCTTCATAAACTGAGTGGTTCCAATGCAAGAAAAGATATCAGGATAATCAGAACTACCGACCAATCCCAATTGTTCCATTATATCTTTCAGCAATTTGGCATATGACATTTCTTGATGTATAATTAGTTCTGACACTTTGTATTCCACGTAATTATCTCTGTCGTTCCAAAACCCGCCATGAAACATGCTCATGGTAATAGAAGTGCTACCTACATGACATTTATAAAAGTACATTTACTTATGTGGGAATAAATTATATACTACTTAATAGGCGTTTATACATAATGTTCATAGTAGATTTCAAGAGTACAAGTATATTATATACCCATTTATGTACTAATCCCTATCTTATAATAACAAAATAACATGAACATAATTTATATACATATATATGAATAGCTAAAATGTAATTTAAAACAAGATAATAATAGGAAGTGCAGTAATAATGTTAAATCTATGATATTAACCTGTAATCATAAGAAATAATAAAACCATGTAATTGCTTATGGCGTGAATGATAGTGGAAAAAACTGAATTCAGGTTTTTTCTTGGCAGTAGCGTGCAAACAACATATTGTGTCTTTTTTTTTTTGAACAAGTGCGAATGTGAGAGGAGTGTAGAAAATTTAAATTATCATTTTGAAACATTGTAGCGCCTTGCACCATAGGAGAAATCGAAGGGAAAGTGTTCATAGCACCATAGCAGTGAAGGAAGATTAGCTTGGTAGTGAACGGAGAAGAAAATCGGAAGAAAAAACGGAATACCTTGGCCGAAGAAGAAAATCGAAAACAATGGGGATGATAAGATTTAAATATTTTTTTAATTTATAATATTGGTAAATAAACCAATCAATATGTTTTGAGAGATTTCGAGGAGAAAATTAAGGAATTTGAAATTAAGGAATTTGATTTGACAATTACTATGGGGCCCACATTTATTAAATGATTGTGATATTAGTTTATGCAAATAACAATTTTATATTTAAAAAATCAAAATCCCTTAATAAATGAAAATGCAATAAGTATGGGTAAATTTGGAATTACATTAAAATCCTACCTGCAGAAATCTAGTGTAAATTTATAAAAATTTAGACATTTATGTAAATAAGTTTCTAAAACAATCCTCCGAAGATATTATCTCAAAAAACAACAACCATTCAAATTACACAGCTTAACTTTTTAATAATTTACATCATTGTCTAAAGATTGACCCGTAGAATTTACTAGAAAGAAAAATAAAATCAATATACAATAAATTTTGAATTTGTGTGGTTTCCTAATTTTTGTTTTTTTTAGACAGACCTAATTTTTGTTTTTAAATCCCTAAAATCGTGCAGCAAGTTTCATGAAATAATTTTTATTTTGAAATCCCCAAATCCCTAAAATCTCTAATTTGAAAACTTAAAATAATGTTAGGAAGTTGATTAGATTTTGGATAGGTATATATTATATAACCTGATATTTGAGTATATACCACAAAAAGTTATATACTACATAACCTAAATATTTGAGTATCTACCAACTAAAACCTATATATTATATAACTTAATACAACTTTTTTAGGTAGTATATGTTTATCGTACTGTAAATTATAGGATAAAAATATATTATATGATAGTAGTTGGAATATATTGTATAACATAATAGTATATAATAATAAAAAGAATATAAAAAATGAATTTGGTGAGAGAGAAACTATTTAAATTTTGATTACAAGAAAGATTTGGTATTAATTGTGATATATGAGGAAAATATCAAATTTTTAGATGGTCAAGAGAAAAATATTTGAAAAAAACAAATTTAATCAAATAAAACAATAATAATTGAGGGAAATTTTGGTACTAATGAAAATTTAAAATCTAAGATTTCAAATATGAAAAAATTTGAAAATTTAAGCTATTTGTGAAATATAATTTATAAAACGAGCCATTAAAGATATTTTCTCTTATAAGGGATTAGTACTATTCTTCGAGAATTTAGAGTAGGTGTTTTTATTTTTCAATCCTTTTTTAAAAATGACCAAATGATCTTTGCTAATGACAAATATCCATTTCGTTTTTTTCCTAACAGTTTTGGAAATTTAGATTTGGACCATTAACATTTTCTATTTCTTTTTTCAGAGAGCATCGGGGTTTAATCACCCAAGAACAAACTGAAAAATTGTTAAGCGGGGCAAGGAGACCAATAGATATTCGCCATTGCCTCCAGGAGGCTCTTCACAAATATGGACACCTAGAGGCAGCGTACAAGCTTTATTTGCCAACCAATCTGCACACATATTGGCTTCCCTATAAACATGTTGAACCAAGACATCCCACTCTCGATCCATCAACTGAAATATTTTCCTTAAGAGTGGCTGAAGAAGAACATTTGATTTCGATTTGTTTTCAACCAAATTACAGGCAACTGCTGAATTTGTTTCAACCACTAGCGACGACACCCCATCTTCCAAACAATGTCTAACCCACTCAGGATTTCCCATAATTCTGCCACCATTGCCGTTGTATGACCAATATTTTGCTGAAACCCTTTTATCCAGCTCCCATATGATTTTCTTATGATTCCAACAGTCCCTGCCATGCCTGGGTTCCCATGGGAGGAACCATCTATGTTAAATTTCCATTTATCTCCTGATGGGGTGTCCAACTAATGTTCACCCATGTTGGAGGACATTTCTTTGAAAGTGGAGCTGTTAATCTCCATGAGTGAGTAAAATTATCTATAATTCGGCAAATAACCGTTGCTGGAGTTGACGGCATATTGGCTCCAGGTTGAAATATTGCTTTATTTCTCCATGACCATATTAACCAGCATCCTACTGCAAATAACGAAGACCAATAGGCTGATGGCGGGTTTATCAGATTCATCGCCAACCATTACTGCACATCACAATTAAAGAAACTATCAGTAGAATTGTCCGGAACTAATGTTATCCATACCTGTTTAGCATTTACGCAATCTCAAATAACATGGATAGTTGTTTCAATTAAATACGAGCAGTTATAACATAAATTATTCCGACATAACTTCCTTTTAAACCTCTCTTTATTAGTCAATAATCCTTCATGCGTCACCAGCCAGCCATAAAAAGGATCCTATCCTATTCGACCTTTCCCAACTCCAGATTGCTTTTCATATTAGGTTTCTTTATGCTATAGTATTTAATGACAAAAGGTGAGAGTAAGTGGTCGATACTGAATAATCACCACTTTTAGAACCTATCCAGATTGGGAAATCAGAATCCGTAGCTGATATATCAGGTGGTTTAATACTAGCTATTGATAAATAGTAGATTGATTTAACCTCCCTTCGAACGCACTCCAATTCCAGCCCCCATCATCTAACACATAATCTCTAATCGGTTTATTTAAATCAGAACCAAGAAAATTCATCACTCCATGATCATTAATAAGTCTTTTTCCAATGATCCATCGATCAAGCCAAAATTTTACTCGACAACCATTTCCAGTACCCCAGCCCATCCACTCTTTTATTTCATTCCAAGCCCCTACAATGGTTTTCCATTGCCAAGAGTCACCTGACTTAACCAATAGATTCCAATCATCCTCCCAATGACCTTTATATTTATTAATGAGAACTTGAGCCCAATGATCGTTTGGTATTTGAATTATACCCCAAGCAATCTTCCCAATGAGAGCTGTATTGAATTCTTGAAATTTGTGGAGGCCAAGGCCTCTCTCGTCTTTGGGCTTTGTAACTTCATTCCAATTGATTAGGTGGATCCTACTATGTGAGTTTGTATGTCCCCAAAGAAAGTTTCGATAGAGATAACTTAATTTTTTGCAAATTGTCACAAGGAAATGAAAAATATGCATTGAGTAAGTAGGCATAGCTTGAATGACCGATTGCACTAATGTTGTTCGACCCACAAAGGACAGAGCTTTAGCTGACCGGTGACTAAGCCTCATGCTAACTCTGTTTACTATATTTTGAAATGTTATTATTCGAATAGGACCATGAACTATTTGAACTCCAAGGTATCTCCCAACATTATTTGTTACCTTAAAACCCCTAGTATTTGCAATAAGGTTTTGATCTTCAGGTTTCACATTCTTTGAGAAGTAAATAACGGTCTTAGCCTGATTTACCTGTTGGCCTGAGGCACCACAAATTTTGCCCAAAACTAGAATTATCTCACTAATTTGATTCAGAGATGTTTCTGTTGGAAAATTTAAACAAATCCTAATTCATGATTATTCTAAAATAAAAACCATAAAATTCCAGAACAATCAAGACTAAGGATCTAAGCATGGAAGAAAACCAAAATCTATAAAGAGATTAGAATTACCTTGAACAATTAGATAGATTGACCATGATCTGCAAGAAGTTGTGTGGTTTGTGGTCTTCCTCAACTATGCAACTTAGACCAAATATGGGCAATACTATCCGAAGCATAGTGTATTGGGGATCATAACCATATATTTATAGGTTAATTCTAGGGTTTCCAATAATCTTCTGAGATTAATGTACTGGTTTCTACTCAGCAAGCCATAGTACTAAATAGGAAGTCATTGGCCCATAATCAAGATCACTCATATGCCCATTAAATAGCCAAAATATAATTGCTCTTTAATTTTTTACCCACATATGAATTAATTATTAAATTAATTCCAACAATCTCCCACTTGGATAACAATTTTCTTTACTAGCAATTATATTAATTTATTCTTTAGTGCACAACTCAATGCTATTAAAATAAACTTTCCTTTAATGACAATATGTTCCATCTCGCATATCGATGAGGAACCAAAACGACTTTTGTCACATGTATACTTGCGACTCAACCTTCAATAATCACCACATCAAATATACTCGATGACATGGATCAAGCGTAGAAGAGCAGCATGAGAATTACATGTAATGTGATCTAAACATGTCTATTCTCAACTGGTAAACTTTATCTTTAAAGAGATCAAAATTTATGCTTTCTAGCTTTATGTTAAACTACATTTAGAAAGAAAATCATTTAGAGTGACAAAATAAACCATCTTCTTTATTCTGCAGAAAATAATAAACCTCATGTCTAATTTAAGAAAAGACAAACTCTCACTCAACTGACATACCATAATTTTCATATCTATATGAGCATTATGATCGTAAAACTTTTGTGAAAGTCCTTAATGAACGAATCCGCAATGATGGAGTTGTATTTCTTTAAACAAAAATATTTTA